TTTTGTCTTTTTTGGGGGGGGGGGGGGGGGGGGACATCTCTTCGCCTCTCACTGCACCGTTCTTTCGGTACTCCAGCTCATGATTTTGCGCCTCCCCCCATGCGAAAGCACCAGAAAATAAATTAAGTCATACGTAGCTGTCATCCGTACGCAAGGAAGTAAGCAGAAGATGCCGAACACCCTTAGCAGGATGCAGCTCACCCTTCATGCGACTCGCCAAATACCTCACGGCGCTTCGCGCTTGGTGATGTGAGAGCCTGGTCCGGTGAGAACCCGGCATGCTCCGTCCCGGCTTTGTAGGGATGCGAGGTCAATGGTCAAACGACTACGGCATGCACGACTATGAGTACACCCCCCCCCCATGCTGTTACTGCCGCTGTTGCTCGTTTTGTGCATCTCGATGAGTGTCGATAAATGCAGAGCAGTTCGTCCGGCTGTCAACGCCGATACCCGCGTCCATTAAACATTCCGCTTTCACCACACCCATCACTTTCTCCGCTTTGTATGAATTTTCACTCTCCGGCCTAGACAAGGTCTAAGTTGCCGGGATGGGTTCTTCAGCTTCTCTGCCCCTGTTTCTCGTTTATATGTCCCGATAAGTGTCGATGAACGCAGAACAGTTCGTCAAGCTGCCACCGCCAATACCCGATCCATTACCGATCCGCTATTGAGCAACACATTTATTCATCTCCGCTACTCGGTTTTGCTCGCCTGTCATGATCAGATCTAAGTTGCCGGGATGGGTTCTGCAGTTCCTTGATGAGACACACCTCAACATGTCGGCGGACAACGCGGCGGCGATGGCGAGGATGTTCCTTAAGGTAATCAGCCACCACAACAGACGTATTTACCTGCAAGGTTGACCGGAAGACAAGGAAACAAGGGGCACCTAGCTGATGGCGAGCAATCGAAAGGCGTAGGAAGATCGGGTCGCAATTTTTGAGAGGCCCACGACGACGTGCGCACACGTCTTTGCTGTCATCCATGACTCCAAAGATCCCGTTCCCACCAACTCACATCCCGACCTTATGTGGTAGTCATTATCCTTCTTTTCGGATAGACATATCTTTGTGGCCGTTCAGTCTTATGAGTCGCCATTGATAGTAGTAGTCGAGAAACATCGCCGTGTTGCCCACCGCCGCCGCCTTCGGCTGCACTACCTCGTGCTGCTTTCTGTATTGTTGCTGCGTAGTCATTGTCCTCCTTGATCGTATAATCGCGAGTGAAATTTCTTGTTTTTCTGATGGTGCGCTAGTATGCAAGACCAAGTTGCGGACATGCGCAACGAACAAACGCACTCACGAGACCCTCGCAACGCGCGGGGACGCCTGCAACAAACCGCAGGACATGGCCCAGCCGCTGGACCCTCTCCGACTCAAGGGCACCATGCTGGACACCAAGAAGGTGGCCGCCAGAAATCGTGAAAAGACCGGGAAAGAGCAGAGAAATGCCTCGGAGCTGAACCCGTCGGCCGCCGCGGCGGCGGGGGGCGGGGGCGCGGTGGATGGCATGGAGATCGAGTAGTTGTTCGGGGAGGCGATGGCGCGGTCACTTGCAGTGCGGCTGTAGCGGGGGGGGCTTTCGTTGTGTATGGGCGATCGTTTTTTCAAGACCGCCCGGGAGACGTTTGAGCCCAACTGGGAGCGGTTACAATTTCGGCGTGGTCGCGTGAGTGTGAGGTGGACATGGATGCATGCGAGTAGGTAGAGATGTGTCCCTGAGAGAAGTGGTGTGTGTATATGACTTGTGTGCATGGTAACCTATTTATCCGTCTTGTGGTGTGACATGCTACATGCCTCCTCGAATCACATTGTTTTCTTGAATTGTTGTGTCCGACGCGCGGGCATCTTTCGGGCGTGTTCCCTTGTTCGTATCTGGCTGTCGTTCGGTCGTCCACAACTATGGTTTCCTTTTGCCGTACCCGCGGGACCTTTGTGCTTGAGGTAATCGACGGGTGGTGCAAGCTTTCGAACCCTCCACACCACGACGCACCCCGTTGGCAGGCCTTGTTGCCGTCGAGAACTCGTCCTTCCGGGGAACGCCCAGCGCGGGCACTACATTACCATGTAATCCAGAGTGAAGACATTCTCGGAGCCGGACTTCATTCGGGCTCAACTGCCTTTTTCTGAACGAATCCAACGTGATCCTTGCGGGGGGCTCGCTAGGAGAAAAAGTGCCCGGGTCTCCCGGAAAGCTGTCAGCCATGAATGCGCAGGTCACGAAGCACCTCGACGCCCACACAACCTATTCAACGAGCATCCGCAGTACCGGCGGAAAGGATTGAACCTATGTATATTCTTGTCAGCCCAGTTATTCTGGACGCTGGTGTTCACCTTTCGACACAATCTCTGGACGCCCCAGCCAGGGTCAGGACAAGGAAGGCCACGCAGGAACCTTAGGTCCCAGATTCAGGTCTTCCGTAGGAATGAAACAATGTGACACAAACGATATGCGACCATGTTCCGCCCCCTTCTGTCTCTCACAAGGAGTAAAGAGACGGGACAATAGTCTTGGATGTTGGACAGACACGTTCAAGGCGGCATACAACGCACACCACACACAAGTACGCTGTAAAACTTCGAGGGAGTGAATACCTATATACCCAGTGTGAAGTATCGTTTGCACACGCACGCCTAAGAAGAATACAACTTCAATTGCACCACCCTGCACATGTGTGCCTTGCCGAATAGGACAGGCGTTAAATTTCACCGTACTAAATCAGGTCTACACTTACCCATTATGAATTGAATGCACAAGGCACCTAGACATAAACCTACCTTCCCAGTTCCCCTGTCAACAACGACAAATACCGTCCACCCCCCCCAACCTCTTCAATACTACGAAAGTAGCAGTGACTCTGGGATATTGAAAGCCACCCCTACTACCACCACCCCACCCGAAGGGAGACCCGGCCAATAGAACGCATGCCCAACCCGCTGTGTTTGAAGTATTCAATTGCGGGATAGACAAATACACCCACAATGGAAATTGATCGCCATTCACTGCAAAAAGTACCTAAACCAGTGAAACGAAATCAATCCCGACTCTCCGCGAAAGCACTCACCGGCCAGAATGACTCGATGCACTCTTTTCGCGAAGTCGAACCCGCACCAAGGCAAGTGGACAAACCGGCCACGCTTCTACCAACGCATATTCAATATTAAGAGGACTCCATCTCCTTCTGGGTGCCCCAATATTTCAACGTTCAATCCTGGACGTTTAATATGCAGTTTTTTACGCAACGTACCACCCGCGAATCACTGAACGCCATTTCCTAGAGACTTCCAGCCATTCGCCGCCCCCTGGCCCGCCACGCACGCATACTCCTGCCGCCACCCCTCCTCCCTCCCATCTGCTGCGGCCGCTCCAGTTGCCCATTGGGGTCTTCTGCTCCCGGAAGCACGCCGTCCTGCGGAAAACCCTCACCATTGAGGCCGGGCGGGGAGGACCAATGGAGGGGAGAGCCCCCTGGGGATCGAAAACTCTCCGCAATCAAGGAAGCCTTGTGCATCTCCATCCTGTGTTTGGTGGCGACACCCAGCGCGGGTGGGGAGGGTTAGGAACCCCTCAAGGCCATACATACTCGATGCGCTTCGGGTGAAATGGAGGAACCGTGTGAAAGTCGCGGGTGAGTAACGTGTGCATCTGGGGGACCCTGCCGGGTCGGTCGCGCACTGCATCGGCAAGAATACAGGCGCTAATGAGTGACGGCTGCAGGCTCCGATCGAAACGCGTTTACAACACCACATCCTCGCTCACCTGCTCATCCTCCTCCTCACGGGAGGACTCCTCAGCTTCGACTCCAGGTTCAGCATGCCCTTCAGCCTTCCTAGTACGGCAGTATATCCGCGCCCTTTCCCACCCCGCTTGGTGCCAGAACCGCGTCTGCTGCTGGGCGCCGACCTTGGACCGCCGCATGTAGCCCCCCCGCGCGGTATCGGCTGCGGTACCGTGCTGCGTGGGCTGGTGGTGTCGCCGTTGTGGAGTGCGAGGGAGTGCGAGGGAGAGTCACCGCTGTTGTCGCCGATGCCCACCGTCGTGGCTGGCCGGTGTGTCTTCCTGTGTTCACCGTCCTTCCGCAACGCTTCACAGTACGCGCCGAACCCACGCCCTCCCCGAGCGTGTGGTCGAGGAAGAATAGAATCCGGCGCCGATCGCGTGCGCTTGTGGTCCATGTTCTTGCCCTCCCCGCCATCCTGTTCCGCCATCTCGTCGTCGTCGTCGCTTTCTTCGTCCTCAAAAGCGCAACTCTTCCTTGCAAGGGTCGGGGGGATCCATCTTCCGTGGCTTGCCGCGTTGGCGTCAGGGGCCGGACTCTTGAAAGCGCCGCCGGGTGTCCTGCTACCGCCGTCATCACCCTGGCCGCGCGCTTGCCTCTGGGTCAAGCGGTCGAAAAAAGCTTCGTCGTGGCGACTGGGGGCACCACCGCCGCTGCTGCTGCTGCATCCGTCCCCATCAAATTCAAGGGTTTGACTCAATACGGAGGCAGTGGCTGTGGGAGCAGCATCCAGCTCCCGCACGCGCCGTTGCCGTCCCCGGCCTCTTCTCTTGCGGCGGAGGATGGGCACAACCGCCGCATCCGATGCCAAGACTCTACCTTCGGGGGTAATTCGGAACCGTATCAGCCTGGGCGGGGGGCAGACCACCGCGGCCACCCCCCGCGGCCCCTCCGGCGGTATAAGCACCTCCGCGCCCGTGTCGTAGTCGTTCCCGGCTCTGAACAGGACCGGTGAAGGAGGGTCCGAGAGGATGGCTTTCGTCCTGCATGAAGACGAGCGCGCCTCCCGTTCCCCCTCTTCTTCGCCGGTCACCACTGGGAGGGATCCAGCTTCGTCGTCGATGACGGTGTCCCAGCAGTCGTCGTCGCTGTCGTTGCCGTCGTTTCCTCGCGCCACCGCCGCCGCCGCCGCCGCCGCCGACATCGCCGCGAATGCCGTTCGCGACAGAAACCCCTCGTGACCGTCCTTACCGGCGACCGCGTGCACGCCACAGCGGTTGTTCCCGACGTCTCCGCGAATAACGCCGCGGGCTCCACTCGAAGTGGAACTGCTTGGGGCGAGGGAACCAGGCATAGCCGAGTCCTCCGGCAAAAGCCCTCCACTGCTGCCGTCATCGGCCGTCTCGTATATGTCATCCTGGTAGGACAACGGTACATGATGCGTGGTAGCAGCAAAGAGAGTTCAAGTTTAGCCGTGGTAGAGCGAGGCACAGGCGTTGGCAAGCAAGATGGAAGCAAGAGGGAAAAAATCGGGGCGGGGGGCGGGGCTGTTGAGCACGTGCGCGCTTGGAACACCTCCAACTTTGTGAAGACCAAAGCGCCTGAACCACGGCATCATAGTTTGGAGGGAAGAACCAAGAAGTACGAGACAAGTATCTCCGTTTCGTTCACTGGGACACGCACACGCCTCAAAAACGCACCTTTTCGCAGAAAACCTTCGATAGCCGGAGGGAGCTATTGCGGGTCGGCGCCGCGAGCGAACTTCTTTCACCGTCGTCACAGACACCATCGATGTTGTCTTTCTCAGCGGCTATCGCCGCCTCTGACCCTCCGTTGGTCCATCGACGAGCAGAACCACCGACGGCGAGACCAGCAGAACAAGGAGAAAAAAACGCGGTCGCTGGCATGCTAGCCGAAGAACATGTCGGTGTTGGCGACGCCGCCGTTCTTGTCGCATCCACCGGGCAATGGCCGATGGACCGGACGGCGTTGTTCCGTCTGCCCTGTCTCATCTGTTTTTCTCTCGGGTCCATCCCCGACAGCTAGCGAGACCAAAAGACACGGGGATGGGGAAGACGATGTTCGGCGGGGGGTATGGAGATAGGGCGGTTCGCCCCAACATTGAAACAGTTGGTCTCTCTCGAGTTTAATAGGACAATGTCGAGAAAAACCTCGGTGTTGCGCGACCTCCGTTCGATGTCCAAAACTCACACGCGTGCTGTTTCCGCCGGGATAGCCACGGTGTTGAGCAGAGCATTTTAGTGTTTTTGAACTTTCCTGGCGATCTCTCTCTCTCTCTCTCTCTCTCTCTCTCTCTCTCTCTCTCTCTCTCTCTCTCTCTCTCTCTCTCTCTCTCGCTCGCTCTCGTGACAGACGCAAACGCATGTCACACTCATACTTCATCACATCCCCTTGGACTGTGTGTGGTATTTTCGAACTGTTACTGAAGCCTTTCTGACAAAAGGCCTCAGGGGGCGCGATGTGCACACATACGTGGAAGAGTTTAGGTCGATTGCGATGCAGCGGTGATTGCACTGATATTCGAATTTAGGGATCCAGCCCGGAGGAGGTCGTTTGATCTGAAGTGCTGCTGAAGCACCGGAGAAGAACAGACCAATAAAATAGAGTAGAGAACGTTTCAGAACAGATTCCAATAATCGCAGTATCCAGCTGGTCATCTTCCCATTCACTGCATAGATAGACGTCAACACATACATTTCGACTGTGATGTTATCTCGAACGGTAGGTGGTAGTTTTTCGTTGAGCGCGTATGTGTTACTGCCTGGTAAGGGTTTGTCTAGCCCACACAATAGGCATGAACAACTTGTTTTACACTGCGTAGAGCACGGTCGACAAGGGACGAAGGGGTGGATCATTCTCGCGACAATACTTCAGGCAAAAACAAACTTCAGGGTGCACCACTACATAGCACACCCGACGAACCATCTACCGAACAGGTTCCTTCGACACCTTCTCAGCGTAACATATACAGAGAGATGAACTGGCCACCAAACTATCTTGTAGACCCGTTACGCACAGGGGAGATATCGCTGTGTGCTGTTCGGGAAATCGTGGAAACAGAACTTTCGCTGACGCTATAGACAATGGATCCATTGCTACAGTAATCTATCTTAGACTCTTTGCTATAGGTAGAGATGGATGGATTCGTTGGGTCAAAACAAAACAAAAACTGAAGCAAGGGGGAGGAACAAGTGACTCTCTCATGTCAACGATGTTCCTTGCACGAGGGCACTTACTTACCGATAGCTGCCAGCAGTGAACTGCGGACATCTGGCTACCCGAGAATGCTTCTGGATACGACATCGGTGACCTTTCATATGTCATTCAAAGTGTTCTCTAATATCTTTAAAGGAGAGGGGCAACCATGGCTGAGGACTGCTGGGTCTGTGCACTGTACACAGATACTGCTGGAGATGCGTGATATTTGAGCAAGAATCAAATTGTTTGTAGAAGACTGGGAGAGTCACCTCTCTTGTATGTCCACCAACACTGATATTCGAGGTGTTCCCATCATCGAAAGTATACGTCGTACTTCGTAGAAATATTACATGAAAGCACGTGTATGTACAAAATACAACGGGTGTACGTGGTATCTCGGCGCAACACGGGCAGTTCGTTCCACACATGTGTCGTTGGCGGTCGGTTGGCCGTTGGACCATCGGAGAATTTTGCTTGCTCCAGATCCAAAATCTATGAATAAGAATGGGTCTTTCTGTTTGTATGTGTATTTATTATTCCTTAATAAGAACGGAGATCCTAACCCTATCCGCTCCGGTCGGCGTTCCACCGCCAGGGCGAGGGTTTCAAAACATGCTTTCATTGCTATCGGCGGGAGTGTAGACTACGGCTTTGATGGCGTCGGCGTATAGTCGAGACTGACTATTTGCTTCTGTTTGTATGAAAAGAAGTTCAATCATTCATCATAATCTTCCCTTGCAGCAGCCAAAAACATGTAGTCTAACTCTTCAAGCGTAAATTCTTAGTCTACACACAGTCAGTAAACACACAGCGAGCTCCTCGCACCTGTCCCTCCGTATCGGTGATTCTGCTTCGACCACCGTCGACAGCGCCGGAGCAGCAGTAGGCAGCAGCAGCAGCAGCAGTGGTGGTGGTGGTGGTGGCGGCGACATATGCCGGCGAGGTTTCGCCAGGCCCCCAGGTTCGGCGCCCGTGAGCGGGACCCATCATTATGGCTTCCCTCCCCATGACATCTGCCGCGTGCGTTGCTGTGCTTCCGGCGTCCATCTGCCGATGGGCCACCCAGAAGAGACTAAGGGAATCAAGGAGGCAGTGGGTATCTGTGCGATACTCTATTTTAGGAGAAGAGGATGGGATTAGGGAGATGTGGCTGCTTGCTTACGCTCGGCCCTGTTGAAGCTCCGTTGCTGAACCTGCGAGTGGGCATGAAGAGTGTGATTCTCATGCGGTCACATCTGTGACCTGAAACCATTGTTTATGGAAAAATATTCGGCCAATGGATCTTTGAGGGGACTCTGTTTGGCTGCTTTCCTGTGGAAGCGGGCAACCCTCTTCCATCCGTCCGTGCCGAACGATTTCACCGGCATTATAACGGGCGACTGGCGTTGTTCGACCCGCATTTACCGGCACCACTGCTGCACATACCTATTCTGCGGACATATGCATAGATCACGTATGCCACGGTGTGACAGCTGCATTGTTCGTACAGCAGTTTTTATATGTTCTTTGCTGCAGGTGGGGTGAGTCGAGTGGGTCGACCGCAACCCGTGGATAATTTATCAGAATCTCTGTGAGAACGGCCAACAGACAGAAGCATGTGTCTGCTGCATCCCTACTCAGATGCACTACACACAAAGCGTAGCCGCGGTAGGCTGTTCTATCTTGTACGTTGTGTGACCTTTACAGTTTTCCGCCTACATACTTCTCGGTCGATCGGTGTTTCGCAAACTGCGAGACTCCCCTCAAAGATCCATTGGTCGACATGAATCCCTCGAGGTGCCACCAAAAAGGTTTTTCATCATGATCCAGCAGACCAGACCCAGCAGACCGGTGTCCTCCAATCCTCACCGTATGACAGTACAAGTATGCATAAAGACTTCAACACTACCAACAGTATTCAACGTAACAGCAGCAGGCTGCGGTACGCTAAGGTTGGCGTACGATACGTGAGACTTGGGTTAGAAACAAAGAGTAAACAATTTACCAACACATGCAGAATGCAGACGCCAGGACGCTGTCTTTTTCATCTATCTGACGGTTAACAGATTTCGCAACGCCTTTCACAATGCCGCATCAACACAGATTAGAGTCGTTCTTGGTACATGTGGTACCTCCACCCCCAACAAGCATCACGTCCCTTCGAACAGGCTATTTCTCTTACGGGTGTAGACAATGTGTATCGTAGGCATCTAGCACCTGAGCCCCCCTTGATGCTACATGAATTTTCTGTGTTGGAGTGGATCGTTCCTGCCGCGCTCACAAGAAATGAAATCACTTGTCGGAAAACCGCTTGTTATTCCATAGTGCTTCGGAGACTCTCTTCTTTCGAAGCTATTGTCATGGTTTCAGCTGCTGTGACTTCTGCAGTCTCTGCGTAGACGGTTTGTCCCGGACCCCCATCTCTACGATGTTAGGCATGAATCGTTCTGTTCCGGCATGCAAAACAACAAGAAAACTGCAAAAAAGACACATCTTTCACATCGGACTCCACTCAGGCTTCCAAGTGGGAACTGCTGCAACACAAAGCCTTTAGACTTTCTTTTTTTTCGTCAAGATTTACCCACACGACGTGGGCGAAGCTGCAAGGTTTCCTCGCTTGCGTAATCCCCTGGTTGGGGAGACGTTTTCCTGATCGGCCGAAGCCCGTTTAGCACTCCAGGGGGTGTGCCCAGATTAACACTAGCTCGTATTCACAAAACCACCCACAGGCGACGAGCGAATCGTAAAACTCTACAAGAGACATCCAACAGAACGACCGCGCGCGCGAGAGTTCACCATCCTGCTCTGATGCCTCACCTGCTTCTGGTGGGTGAAACTGACAAAACTTAAATACAAAAGTGATCAGGCGCGACTGTCCCGTCTGGACGCCACGCCTCTGACGCAAAAAAGTTCCAAGCAAAAACTTGGGAGAAATTCAAATAAATTTCTTTGGCAGGTCAATCCCGCCCGTTGGGTGAGAGCGCTCGCATTTTTCACTCTATTGCAGTTTTCCCCGATGTGATATATCTATGTAACCTGGAGCTTGAGCACAAAAAGTTGAACTCCGTTGGTCCAGTCGTAGTGCAGAAAATGCAGGGCAGTCCGTACATACATCATTACGTAGGTTGCTTATGGGAGACCAACCCTCCCGACATACAAGACAAACACGCGCGACCCCACAACACGCCCTGACTCGCAGATGAAACAACACCGAAAGGTCGGTTGTCCACACAACAGCGGCGGGTCGTAGTTGGCCACCCACATGCGCCGCACATCCTTCAACCGGCAAAAACGAGTGATCCCAACAGACAAGACCGAAAAACCAACCCCAACGGAAGCGAGAATATACTGCACTCGCTAGGCTCGACCAGAACGAAAAAAAACAACTGGGACCAGAACCAGACACGTAGAACGACAGGAGAAGGGACAACACCACAAACACCAAGGGGGTTACTTTGATAGGGGGTTACTTTGATACGAAAAGAGAAGGGCACAGGGGGGACGACTGGCGAGGAAGTGACGAGAAACGACGCGCCCGGACCGATTTCTCCGGACCAGCTTGGGAGTAAATACACAACAACCGCCTCCTTTTTGCTCATACGCTGATGGCACGTATCTTCTGCTCGACGTCGGCGCGGCAGACGGGGCACTGCTCGAACTGAGCGGCGCACGTGAGGCAGCAGCAGTGGTGCCCGCACGGGACGAGCGTGCAGTCCACCTTCCTCTCGAAGCAAACCTGTGAGTAAGGTGTCGTGCGCGCAAAGTTCGACAGCAACAGAGACAACATGCAACCGGGGGGGGGGGGACTAGAGTCAGCCAGTCGTGATGCCTACTTCAAACAATACAGACTCTTGCATAGCTTCACGATCATGGTATGAGCACCTTACGAGGTGTTGGTTTTACCGAGTAGTCAGCGCTCGCTTGTCTACTGGTGAAACTTTTATCGAAAAAAAGGCATGTCGGCGGGCTCTTGGCCTCCCAGATGGCCGCCCAGCTAGGGCAATGATATTCGGGGACGGACCCGTCGCCGCCACTCAGCTGACTGAATGGTTTAGTCATCCTCACACAAGGATAAACTCATCCGTTCGAACCCCAGCTGGATCACTTGTATGCAGAAGCACCATTTGCACATGGCACACACACCATATCAGGAGCATGGTGACGGGTCCGTCCCCGAAGATCATTGTCCTAGCTGGGAGGCCAAGAGCCCGCCGACATGCCTTTTCGACAAAGTTGCACCATTATACCAGTGAGCGCTGACTTATCCAAACATGAACAACCACCTCGTCAGGTGCGCAGGCCAGGCCGTCCTTCCTGCGAGAACATTGAAAGCATTATCGATTTGAAAATCAAAACCTTAGCCTGCTCACCCTAGACCGGCTTGAAGGCTCCGTCCCAAGGCGCTAATCGAACCGTCTCTGTCATTCCCAGTGTCCCTGAGCGTGGTACTCTACCCGCATCCCCGGATGAGGTTACAGGTTATACTAGATCGCTAGGGGC